CGTTTACGTTTACGTTTCGTTTCGTTTACGTTCGTTTACGTTACGTTACGTTACGTTACGTTACGTACGTACGTACGTACGTACTCTACTACTTACTACTACTCTCTCTCTCTCTCTCTCTCTCTCTCTCTCTCTCTCTCTCTCTCTCTCTCTCTCTCTCTCTCTCATATATTCACACACACACATACATTAAAAGTCTATTTAATTTTCTTTCTGAAACAAAAGATTCAATTCTCCAACAAAAGGTCCAGTGGTCCTGAAAATTAAACATAAGCTATTATGATCTAAACGAATCAAGGGGTTAGAATTTTAGACACTATCAATTAATTGACTTGTGAACTTGAATATTCAGGAAGATGGTACATCAGGACCCCAAAATAGCAATCTCCATGCATCAGAGGGACCACATTAGATGAGGGTTTCAACATGTCACATTGAGTAAATATGGAAATGCCTAAAGGTTATTCTGTCAATCCATTGCCTATAACATGTGATTGAAACTCTACATATGAATTAAAGTTTGGGAATAACGATCCACTATAAATTTTCTAGATTTGAGAAATATGATATGTATGTTGCTGGATAATCCTTAGACAGCAGCAGTTTGGATTTGGGGAGACAGCTCCCGTCTTTCAAAGGAAGCTCTAAGCTATGCAAATCGAAAATTAAGGGAGATCGATTCTCATTTCTTGAGCAAAAGAACCTAATAACTTTACACAAAAGTGTCTCAAAACAAATGACTAATACACTACACTTAATATAAACTTCATTAGCGTGCTTATTAAAAATGCAAGATATAAATGACTAGATTACCTTGTTGGTTCGATTATGATTTCTTAGTTTTAAATTATTCCTTTTATGGAGCCTGTTTTAAATTCTCATTGAGATTTGTTCACCCCCAACTAATTTCTTAGTTTTAATCTATTACTTTTTTGGGGTCTGTTTTAAATTCTCACTGAGATTTGTTCCCCCCACCTTCAGCATCATACACTCATATCTTAAACCCATATTCCTCTTATTCTTATAGGTACACAACAAGATGACTATCACCATATTGCCCTTATTCTTATTGGTACACAACAAGATGACTGTCACCATATTGCACTTATTCTTATAGTCTATGAGGAGTCCTATGCATATGTCTCTTCCTGAATGCATTCTGTCACCTAAACTTATCAACATTTAGTGCAAAGGATGATTGATGATGTGATTATCAATCATCATATAGAAACTTCAAACCCTAAACCCTAAACCCTAAATTTCAAAATAAACAAAATATAAAGGCAGCAAGATGAACATAACAAACAAGGGAATAAAATACAACCCAACAAAGTAACATAAAGTCAGTAGTAGTCAGAAAAGAGTACACTTACCATTTCCACAAAGGTTAGCAATTGCTCCAGCCACCATACGAAAGGTCTGAGGGTCCGTGGCTCGATAGGCAATTGCAGATAATAGTTGAGCCCCTCCCTTGCTTATTATTAGACCTTGATTTGTTTCTACAAGTATAAAATGCATCCATTATAGTTTCATTAAATCAACCAAAAGAACGCAACCTCATTCATATTACTTAAGGGAAAGACGATATTTGATGTTTATAGAACATCTATAAGACAGACTTCAAGTGGATAACAGTCACAGATCTCACATTTTAAGGTAGAATAGAGTTTTTTTGGGAGTTTCATTGCTGTAGTTTAAATGGCAAGCAAACATACAATGAAGAAATTTCCTATGAGACAAGGAAAAATATGTACAACATAAGAGATGTATTTATAAACATTCCTTCATTGAATATGCACCGTTTCTTTGTTAACCCATATAGGTCAAGTTTCAAATATTAAACTATACATTTGGCCTCTTTTGATTTTCCCAAATTTTGTTTAAATGTGTAAATTTTGTGTGGTATGTAAGCCATCAGATTGTCAAGCTGAAAGCATAAAACTTTCATCTTAAAGTTTGTAAGCTGCATGAGAATATTTTCTGTATTGTAACATACTTATCCATATCTGTGAAATCATACTTTTTATACCAATGTATAAGGTAAGGGAGAAATTTTATATGTTTAAACTCTTTCATGTGGGGATTAAATCTAAATTTCTCTCATATACAGGATAATGATTTTTCTCTAGGGTCCAGGGCATTGTTCAAAAGAATTCAGATTAGTTGTTGTCACCAGGGATGTTAGAGATCGTCAAATCACAAAAGCTGCCTAAAAATAAATTTGCATACCTGTGGTTGGTGGGTCACACCGGGGGGGGTGGAACATTTTTTTAAAGTCAGAGTTTTTACAGACCATATGTGTTCATTTTCTATGATTAGGGGTATTTCAGGTTTTTGCAAATAGTAGGTTGACACCCTAGGTTTTAGTTGAAAAACTTTTTTTGATGCAAGATTGTAAAATGATTCTGGGAACACATTATTGAATATCCATTCATGTTGCCAGCTAATTTGTGCATGTATCTTTACATGGTACAAAAACAAATTTTGGGTTAGTGGTAGGGGCATTTTCGACACTATGGTAAGAATGTTTCAGACTACTATGATGACACCATTTGGGGTTGTCCAAAATCTTGAAGAATGATCGCTAATTGTGGGAATCATTTGATGAGATGGTTAGGAATAGTAACTCACTTAGGTAGTTATATCACAACATAATGTCTTACCCGTAAGTAACAGTGAACAGTTAGCACACTGACAATGGTATGCAGCACGTCAAGGGTTTGAATATCATCTCACAGATACCACTTGATACGAGTACGAAATGATGTACGCATGAAAGTGAATAATAACCCAATCCAACTCAACATCATCAGTTGGGAAGCAGACTCAATATTGCTATGCAACTTGGCCAAAAGTAGTTCATGTTGTTCATGTGGTCAATAAGTACATGACATATCTACAAAGATATCACTTAACAATTTGTGACATATTGCCATAATCTTTTAAATCTTAGATTGCCTTTAAGATGTGACATATATTTTTAACACTCTTCTAGTCATGAGTAAGCTTCCCTAGTTGATTTTAATTGAGCTCAACATTCTAAACCTAGAAAGTTAACTCAATAATACTTCATGTCTTCACTTCTTCTCAATTTCTAAGATGAGAGAGATACAAGTAAAACATAAATTTTTTTCATACTGTCCCTTCTACAAAATGGAATGTTTGTAATGATATTGTTCGATGTGAATGTATTTCAGTACAAATATTGAAAACAAAAGAATCATTTCTGACACCTAGATTTATGGAAATCAATTTTCTTGATTCCATCTCTTGTTTGACAAATACCCAATTCAAGAATTCACAATTGCAAACAAGAGAAAAGCTTTCTGGACCAAGGGTATTTCATTATGTACATGTACAAGTGGAAGAAAAATAATAAACTACATTTCCCATGGAAACCAATTATCAAGGTACTAACTTTTATTAACTATTGAATAGTAAACATGTTTTGTGCATTTATACCAGTCATAGCCAAGTTGGCAATAGCACCAGAAGCAACTCGCAAAATTGTCTCATTCTCTGATGATTCTAGAAGCATGAGAAGTGCATCCAGGCCTCCTTCCTCAACAATTTTTTCTTGATTAAAATCTGTAAAACAGAAACACACAAGTATTAATCTCTAAGATTACCTCGACACTTCTCATTGTAAAAAATAATGAACTACCTATCAATTAAGATTCCAGATAATGCCAAGAATTTACTCTAGCTCACATTCCTGGGATATTTGTCCAAACCTTGCGACTAGATTTTTGAGACTGCAAGACCAAAGTTTGTTTCCTATAAAAGTCAAGAGCAAGAGAAAGGAGAAATGAAAATAAATATTTTTGACTTTTATGTACATTTGAGAATGTGGGCTCATGCATCAAAGCATGAGATTTTCTCCTCCTCTCTCTTCCCCCCCCCCAAAACACAAAAACACACACACATAACTCTCTCTCTCTCTCTCTCTCTCTCTCTCTCTCTCCCACGTAACTCCCCGTGACTATATCTCCCTAAATCATGTATATCACTCTCTTTTCCATACTTGGCTATCTTGTCTCCCCTAGATCCTCTTTTCTAGGAACTCTGTAACTTATAAGAATTACTTATTTTGGCTTTTTGCCCCACGTAACCAATCCCCCTACCCATCTACTCTTTCTAACTTAGCTAACAATCCCCATCAAAATAGGAACATGAAATCCTAAAAACTAGGAAAGCTTCCTACGCTAATCTTAAATCAACTAAAATCCTTTAAAACTGCCATAACATAAAATAGAAACCCCTTTTTAACCCCTATATGTATATCCCTCAAAATTAATCCCAACAACCATAAAAACAAATAAATAAGTCCAACCACACCCCCTATAAAGATAAAAAGTAAACCCACGTCCCTAAAAATTAATTCTTTTAAAAAATAAATAAATACATAAAAAAACATCCCGGATGCGATTTGCATCATACTCTCCGGGTAGGAAAAAAACTCATCTCAAGTTTTTCCTATTGCATCTTCACCCTCTATTAGTTGAAGGTGAAGCCCTACATCTCTATGCAATTGTTCTTTGTGAGCCATGAGACTGAATGACCTGGATGCATCTCCGATGGTCATCCATTTGATATATTCAATGGGAAATGCATTGCTAACTAAGAGTTCAAATTGATTGTCCTAACTGAAGAAGAAGAATTAGTTCCCACCAATAAAGTTTCATTTCTGACTAAATGAGCTATCTCCCAACTCTGGTCCCGAAAGATTGGCCTAAGAAATAAGCAAATACTAACTCCACAATTTCAGCAAAAGTTGTGAACATTACAAATTCCCAAAAAGCTCTTAGGAAGTGAGCTCCATGCTTGATGATGATGCCGATAACTAATGGAAAAGTCGCAATTGCATAGCCCCAAACATCATCGAGCTCGACAAATGATTCATCTGGTGTGCCCAAGAATTTGGCAATTGCTATGACTACAGCTTCAAGGCTTAGTTGTACTGTCTTTGAGTGCAAGGAAGAAAGGTAGGGCCTCAAAACTGAAAGTAAGGTGCAAAATATTAGTGAAACTGCAACATAGACTTATGCATACAATCATGTCTTCCTTATCTAACTCAAACCCTGCTTGACGTCTCAAATTCAGCATGAGAGCTTGGGCTTTCTTTACATGTTCAAGAATGACAAGAGCTGCAGATGCCAAAAAAAACTAACAAAACTTGGCTCACTCAATGTCAAGCTTAAGCCCATGAAATTTGAAACAAAATTCAGAGCTCTTTCTCCATGATCATAGACAAAACAAGCTACTATCGTAAAGCCTCATGTAAGAACACCTCTATCTTGCCAATTCTTGAAGAAAATTGTGCATTCCCCAACAAACCAGAGCCAACACAAAGTGCAATTCTAAATCTAAGCCCCACTTAACACCTAACCCATGAACTTGAACACTCAAGGCTGAATCTCTCGAGTTCAAGCACATGCATGCACTGTTAACAACAAAGAGGGCAAAATGATAGGGTCTAAAATTATGGCAAAGCACAAGAACAAAGAAATTCAAGATGCCATGTCCTATGCCTTCTTTGAGGACTCCAATAAAAACCATTTCACAAAAATCATTGCCATTGTAATTCATGGAATCAACCATGAAGTTTGCAGTATGGAGCTTACCAATAATGCAAAGGGGTGATAAAAGTGCATTGGCAATGTGAGGGTCACTAATGAATCCACACCTCAAAGCTTTAGTGTGGATTTGCATAATGGCACTTATACTCTCTATATGCCTATTGCGCCACTCTAAGGTCACTAATGAATCCACACCTCAAAGCTTTAGTATGGATTTCCATAATGGCACTTATAGCACTTATACTCTCCATATATCAGTTGTGTCACTCTAATGCATAAACACTGGCAAGAGCAGAATAAGAAAGTTGAAAACCATGGGCCTCCATCTCCCTCAAACATTACGACCCATTATCAAAGAAATTTGAGAAAATTCGGCCATGAATTTTGAAGTGGACTAAGATAAGTCCTACGCTCAACCCATAGTGTCTTTCAGTCCAAACTTTGTTCATCAAGATCAGAATCCTCCACTCAAAACAAAACATTGACTCAACATTTCTTTCACCATTGGAACATCAATATCAACTTCTAGATGGATATTACTTATATCAAAGCCATTATCAAGGAACCAAATTGAAAACACCTTTAGTTCCTTAGTGTGCATCTCCCATAGCCCCACAGATTCAGAAAAGACATTGAGAGAAACAACACCAATACGAGTACTATCAGCAATATCATTTTTCTTTGTAGGTTGTCGGATTCAGAGTAGAGCCACACCCTCCTCTTTAGAAGACTTGGGTGGAATCTCCTTGTTCAACAATAACAACGATGGTTCATGTCTAACCACCAACACTTTGTTTTGATCAAAGCCACTGCTTTTGCTTTCTCATCTAATCCCAAATCCCTTTGATCACATGGGATGCTCTTCCATGTTCAGTAGAAGTGATTCACTTGAAAATTCAACATTGACTTCAATAGAGATAGTATTAAAAGTTAAAATTTACATCTGATTATACAATGCAGAATTTCGTCATTATTAAATTTAAAATCCTCTATCCTTCCATGAATAAAACTATTTCAGCAGTTTGATCTACAAATACATCTACTCTTTCCTCGCTAGATTTAAGGTTTCTTGCATCTATTAATGCATCAACCCCCCTAGTGACATTTAACATTTTCTTTGATTAAGAAATACATACCTTTGTCTGTTTAATTGTGTGATGCTTAGGTCGAAGTTTCGTAGTAGGGATAATAGTTCCCTTGGTTGGAGGTGTCAATCTCTTAGCCTGGAATATTCCTGTTCTAGGGGTGGAACAGGATGTGGCATAATTCTTTTTCTGCACGTCTCTACACTGATTTTGGTCTACTACCCTATGCCAATCACATTGACTTTGGGGTTGTAGGTTATCCAACTTTTCTCTACATTCATGCTCCCATCCATTCCGTCGTGCATCAAACCCATAAGTGCAATCAAGTATAACATCAGGCCATTCCCGCTCAGGTTCACGTTCTAATTTACGTTGATCTCCACAAGAACTCACACAATATGGATCTAACACCGTAGATCTCATCATGTTCGATGCGCGTTGTTTCGATCTTTCTTTATGCAACAACTCTTCAATCATCTCCGTTAAGTTGTCGATTTTCTTGTATATTTGGTCATGCTCGACATTCCTACAGTTGCGACCCCCACGACCAGCCATTACAGTTGCTAACCCTTTTTTAACCATGTTTTGATACCAAATGATGCAAAAGGAGCCCGAGAAATTAAATTTGGCCTTCTTTCAATCTTGCATAAGTAAAAATTCGACAATAATGGAAGGAATAAAGTGATTGTGAATTAAGTCATGGGAAGAAGAAGTTCTTTTTTCTTCATTCATAAAAACTCTCTACAAAAAATATCCAAGTCTTCCTCAAGAGGGACTCCCCCTTCTTCTAATACAAGCAATAAAAAAGAAAAAACAAAATACTGAAAATATCCTAAGATATACTCTCTCTCTCTCTC